AAAAGAAATGTAAAATTAGAATCTTCCGTATAACTTTTTATATCAATCGCTTTATTTATTTGAAGAGAAAATTGCATAAAATATGCGATTATATGCGTTAATATTAAATGAAAATATAATTTATTTTATATAAAAAAGAAACATGATGACATATCTTTCTAATAACAGAATTCCATAATTATCATTGAATCTTCCATAATTATCATTGAAAATTCGACATATCGTATACATATCGTCGTCTCTATTTACTTCGAACGGTGATTGAATTTAATAAGTCAATTTATAATGACAGTTCTTTCTGTAGGAAGTGTTCTCCTTGACGTTCAGAGAAAACCATAAGTGTGAAAATTATTGTAGATTATTACGTAATCGAATTAACTCCGCCGACTATTTATTCTCAACATAGCGATAATCTATTAAGCGGACGGAAAATAAAATACTTTGTACAATTTTTAATAACGAAACTCTAACTGTTGTAAATGCATCGATTCTGATCTCGCATTATGCGCATTTCTTCCAATGAGCGCGTCGGCGAGAGGGTCGAAAGTGGATTAGGCTGCAAAATTAAGATTCCTCCCACTGCAGAAGCCTTGTAAATCACGCACAGTGATATTTACAAACTGATATACAGCGTAATTGTTAAGATACTTTAAATAGTACGAATGGTAAGCAAGATTTATAGCAAAGAGTGAGAAAAACAGTAAGTTTTTGCAAAATTTATATGATGGAATTTTATACTGTCTCGAAACTCGGACGAAACACGTCACTTAATCGCCTAATACGTAACACAATTCAATGCACTGACCAATATGTCGAAGAAGACAATATCGCGAAATGTGCTTCGGCAGTGGTACGAAATACGATTCAATGAGAAAAGAACTTTACCATTTCTCTGGCGAACGAAAAAGATTTACACAATTTATTCGGGCATCGCTCGAGCGTACCACGTTCGCTGGAGTCTGATTTTCGTTGAACAACGCGTTCTCTCTTTTACCAGCTCAAACGAGCTCTATTTTTCATGCGTACGCAGCCAATGGCAGCGGCCCGATCGCACACTCGCCTCTCGCCGTTAGACGCAAACAAAAGTCGAAACTCGGACGCTCCGAGTACACGCGGATTCCGCGTTTGCCGATGGAATTTAATATCTGCTGCCTTCGTTACGAAACACACGGCCATGCTTTTTTTTCATCCCTTTCCCCATTCGTTCGCCTCATCCCTCACTATTCATTCTTCGCGCTCGTTTCTCAATACGATCGAGGAGGTATCAGCCGAGAGAGACACGATCTTTGCTTAAAATACGCAATAGAATCGAACGAGATGGAACAGCATTACAAATCGAATTAAATTCCTGCATCACGTTTACATCGTTATTGCTCGAATGCATCGCATGCCAATTTCAAATTCTTTGATCTCAGATAACCACACTGACGTGCTTGCGCGAATAAAGTACGTACGGGAAAATTTTATAATTATAATTTTTGTTAAACATTTTTTGTAAATCTATTATGAATAAATGAAAATCTGTATTATACGTCATGTATCATATAAAATTTAGCACAGAAAATTAATCACAGAAAAGTAATTCATTTTAATATTTCATAGAATTTAATATTTCATAAAATTTCTATGATTTTACTTTCAAAATATTCGCGTTCGCTTTTGGTTTCGTAAAATTTCAAGTTATTTGAAACATTACGCGATATAAAGCAATGCTTTTATTGATT